CTGCAGATGTCCTTTCCCTGTCTGTGGTTTGCCAGTTCATTCTTTTAACAGTATGAGAACGTGAAGTTTTTAATTTTGATGGAGTTCAATTTGTCAATATTTTCTTCTGTTATGCCTAAGAAATTTTTGCCCACCTCAGGGTCATGAAGATATTCTCCTGTGTTTTCTTCTGCAAGCTTTATTGTTCTACCTTTAGCAATTAGGTCTAAGGTCTGTTTTGAATTAACTTTTGTGAATTGTGTGAAGTAAATTTCATTTTTTCTTTACAGATATCCAGTTGCTTCTGCAACATTTATTGCGTAGATCAATTCTTTCAAAAGCCTCACAGAATTGCAGTGATGTTTTAGTGCTTTGACATAAGTCAAGTGACTATATATGTGTGGCTGTTTCTAGATTTTTTATCTATATTTGTGCACTTCCACAGTGTCTTAAATACTGTAGCTCTATAATAAATCTTAAAATCTGGTAGTATACATTCTTCAACTTAATCTTTTTTAAGATTCTACATCGTTTCCATATAAATTTTGGAATCAACTTGTCAATTTCCACAAAAAAAAGCTCACTAGGAGTTTGATTGCTACTTTATTAAATCTGTGGATTTGGGTAGAATTTACTGAACAGTAATGTGTCTTCTAGTCTGTGAAGATGGAATATGTCTCCATTTATTTAGATTTTAGTCTTACATTCTTCAGCAGTGTTTTGCTGTTTTTAGAGTATAGGTCTTAGAAATTTTGTTGAATTAATCCTTGTATTTCATGTTGTTTGATGCGATTATCAGTGGTATTTTGTTAAATTTCACTTTTAATTGCTTGTTGCTAATACATAGAAGTATAATTGAGATTTTGTATGTTAACCTTGTATTCATGACCTTCTTACATTCACTTGTTAATTCTAATAATTTATTTATAGAATCTTTTGAATTGGATTTTCTACATGGACAGTTGTCAACCATAAATAATGACAGTTTTATTTCACACCTACCAATCTTTGTATTTTCATTTCTTTTTCTTTATTACACTCTCTGGGAACTACAATACCAGATAGAAGTGGTGATAGTAGGTAGCCTACTATTAATGAGAAAATTGCTGTGTCAGTATGATACTGGAGATATTCTGGGGGTTTCAATTAAGTGTTGATGGGATTTTCTCTTGATATATTTCACGATTTGCTATTGTTTTAATTTGAACTTTTGGTAGTTGTGTTTGTCAGGTTGATTGGTATTAGTTTTAAATGTATTGAATGTCAAGATTTTGGCATCACTTCGTTCATTTGTTCTCAACTGGGGACATTTTTCCTCCCCAGGGGACATTCAGCAATGTCTGGAGACATTTTTGGATGTCACAACTGGGGGAAGAAGAGTGCTACTGGCATCTAGTGGGTAGAGGCCATGAATGCGGCTAAACATCCCACAGGTATAGGACAGAACCCCCCACATAAAGCATTTTTCAGTAAAAAAATGGCAGAAGTGTTGAGAGTGAAAAGACCTGATCTGATTCAGTTCCTTCATTTGATAAGAAACCAGGGCCCACAAATGTGAAGTGATTTGCTGTTACCTATTTTAAGTAGCACAGACACTACACTTCCTATATTTATGAATAAAAATAATTGTCATTACTGTCAGATAGATAGTACGAAAAAGTTTGCATATATCATCTCTATTCCCCAAGAAGGTTAGCATTATTCCGCATTTTATACGTCAGGACACTAAGGCATACAGTGCTTCATGCATTAATTAACTTATTCGATAAATATTTAGTGAAAGGTACCAGGGTTTGTTTTTGGTTTTGTTTTGGATTTTTTTTTTGGAAGTAAGAAATACAGTGATGAGTAAAACTAATGGGCATAGCGGAGATTGTAAGCTAGTGAGGAAGACAAACCAAACACAGTTGAGTAAGGATTATAAACTATAGGAAGTGATATAAAGGAAAAAGGGGATGAGATAGAGATGAAATGTGAGGAGGAAGTCCACTTTGCAGGGAGATTGGGAATGGCTTCTTTGATGTGCTGACATTCAAGCTGAGACCTGACAAGTGAGCAGAAGATAGCTGTGTGCAAAGTATGGGGCTCTGTTTCAGGAGGAGGGAACACCAGGTGTGGGGGCTGAAGCAGGAAAGACTGTGTACATTTTTGGTACATAGTCAGTGACGGGGAAGGTGACTTGAGATTGGAGATGCTGACAGGTAAGGCCAGGCCTTACAAGCTTCGGTAAGGACTTCGGGTTTTATACTCTTTGCAATGAGAGGTTCTTGAAAGGTTTTAAGCAGGGAAGGGACACGATCCCATCTGTACTTTTAAAACTCCCCCTATTGCATGTACGATGGGTTGGAATAACGGGGGAAGGGTAGAAAGCAGAAAGATGAGTTACGACTATTGCAGAGGTTCGCCAGAGGGAGTAAGACCATTTTGAGAAAGTTTTGTTTTTGTTTTGGACTTGGAAGTGACTGGATTTACTAATAATAGGGATGTGGAAGGGTGAGGGAAAGTGAGAAATCAAGGATGACTGCTAGTTTCTGACTTGAGCAATGGGGCCAACTTACTGAGTTGGGAAAGATTGGGGAGGGTCGTTTTGGGGGGGTGGGAAGAAAAGGACTCAATCGTTCGATGTCAGGCATATTAGGTTTCTTACTTAAGCTGCCGTGTGATTTCATTTCCACATTCTCCATCTTCAGCAGAAATGGTGAAAAGTTGATCATTTTTTCTAAAAAAGTGAGTTTATTTGGAAGAGTGCTGGATTGGTTTTCTGGAGTTCTGGGTTTCCGCTCTCCTTGGTCTTGGCCAGCATCGCAAGGTGATCTTCTCATCTGTAAAATGGGGCGTGTTGGACTTGGTATTCTTTACGGTCCCTTTCAGTAACGTACTGTGCCTCTGAATTTAAGTCATCCCCTTAGCTTTTCTCTCACTGCTCTGCCTAACATTTTTATAATGTGGTCCAGCTCCCTGGCTAGGACTTTTTATGGTTTTTTTCCTTTGCCTACATGGAATTTATAGCCATGGATTTTTGCATCAGGCCTTCTTTATGCCTTTTTTTCTTGTATCTTGCACCTCAATGGGCTTATAGTTAAATAGAGACAGAAGATTCTCAGATTTCTTCCCGATACATTACTTCTGGTAACAAAACAACCAACTTTTTTTTGCCCTGTCTAGGAAGTGTGAAAACAGTCCCAAGTATTGGGGTGTCTATTTTCTTACATTTTGAGAATGTTTAACTATACAAAAATCTTTTAATCTGTATCCTTGAAAATATTTACCTTTCAGTCTATCCTGAACATGCCTTGGCTCTTCAAAGAGTCAGTAAAGCTTATGCTGAATGTAGAAGAATGACAGAAGCAAGAACCACTTCCCTGAGAGGTGCCTGTCTTCTCCAAGCTCCTGAAGAACCAGTTCCCATTTAGAGAAATGTAGAGGAACCCCCAGTTTCAGCCCTTCCAGAGAAGGCACGGGAATTAAGTACACACGTCAATCAGGCTGATAAGTCTCATCCCCAGTTAATATATAATAAAATGTTAACAAAGCTAAATCAAATGAGTTTTTAGTTTAGCTATGTAAGTGGAGAGCAATTTTGAGGTCTGTTGCATAAAGAATTCCAGTTCCATGGTAGAGTAGCAAGTAAATGGGATTGGGGGCAGAGTGACAAGAGGGGAGATAGATAAATCACCCGTTATTATCTCGTTGCTATCAGCTGGGGTTCTTTAAGGCCAACATAGTGGCCTTATCAGGTTTCCTAACAGTTGGATTTTACGATCTACTTTAAGAAATAAATTTGTATTGCTATTAGTGAATAAATTTGAAGGATCCATCCTGTGCTGTGAGCAATTCGTAGTAACTAACAATAAGGCCCTGTAATAGTCCGGTATTTGGTTTTTACTTAATAAAATATTTAATCATAAATGTCTGAATCCTGCACCTCCCACAGGCAGGCATTTCCATGCCCACTGACAAGAATAATTTAGCAGTTTCATAGTTGAGCGCTTAATTACTCATAATTGTGAAGGGTGAGATGTGATGAATTCTTCCTCGATGGACATACTAGATATTTAACTAAGTAGATGACTTAAATTAAGCTAAGTGAGATCATTTATTACATTGGTTAAAAGCAGTTTAAGAAGAATATCATGTCCTGCATTCGATTAGATGATATGTGTGTGACTCTCTCTGCTGTGTGACTTACAGGCTGCACTGTTGGGATGGTTGGCAGATGTTTTTGGATGGGGGTTGGTGGGGTTTTTTTTAGATTTGTTACGCTTTGCCTGAGTAAGTAATGAGGATCCTTGACTATATGTAGAGTTTAGTTCTCTAACAAGAAAACTCTTTATGCCCTTTCGGTTGGTATGAGAGTATTTGTCCTACATCAGGAAGAAGGAAAGAACTTGACAGTATAGGCTCACCCTTGAGCCTTACTGCTGTGTCCTTCAGGGAAGACAGCCTGATTTGCAAAGTAACGCCCGAAGCAGTCAAAAGGTAAAATGAAGAGGGAAAGATACAAGCAGAAAGTATTTGTAAAATGGTCTATGAAATTTCTGAATTCGAAAGAATCATATTTTGGAGCAGAGGAAAGAGGAAACCAGGTATTTTAGGAGCTAGCTGAACATGTCACTGCAGCATCAGTTGAGTCGTATTGTAAAAGGCTCAGGAGCCTCCTGCTTACCATTAGGGAAGTTGAAGCAACTTGTCTCATTAAGTTAAGCTTCTTCCCTCAAGTGTCTTATTTAGCTTTACTTCCCTTAATTCTCTTTCCGTGGTGATTTGGGTAAAATGTCTGAAACCACTCAAGGTAAAAGGTTGAAGCAATCACAAATTTAATCTATCGCCTTTCTTCAGTGTGTCTGAGTGTAATTCTCGGCAGTTCCTAGCGAATTCATTAGAATCAGCAAGTCATTAAAAGTTAATAAGAAACTATTCATTTCTGTGAGTGTGAATAAAACCACTTTGTAAGTCTGACATTCTTTTCCAGTCATAGAAACCTTGCTTTTAGCCAATTTCCATTTTCTCTGTCTCTCTAGGTTGCTCCTGGATGGGGCACCTCTGATAGCAATCCACAAAGCCAGGTATTACAAGAGGCAAGATGGCTTAGCCCTGGGGCCCGGACCATTTGTGACTGCTTTAGAGCATGCCACAGATACCAAAGCCACAGTCGTGGGGAAACCAGAGAAAATGTTCTTTTTGGAGGCATTGCGGAGCACTGGCTGTAAACCTGAGGAGGCCATCATGATTGGAGATGTAAGTAGAAGAGCCCAGGAAATGCCCTGGGCTTACCTGTCATGCTGGGAGGAGCCAACTTCAAAGCACTACTTTGAAACACAAGCAGGCTCTTATTGGTGATATCAGATGGTAGTAAGAGGCTACCCATAAAACAGGCTTTCCAGTAGTTGTTTACTGGTATTCTAAAGAACTGAAATATTGATTATTTCTGACATTCTTCATAGTGTGATGAGATATATACAATTCAAAAGACCATCAACTGCAAGGCAACTAAATGCTTTATATGTCTTTTTGAAGAAAACTTCTACATAGATTTAGACTTTTTTGACTATTCCTTAATGCAAAGAACACCTATACCCAAAGAATTCTCCCATTATTGATTTTTTTGCTAGTATATGCTTTATGGAAGAACTTCCCAGTCTGTGTGCCACAAATAGCTAAAGATATCGATTGCCTCAGGCCTAGGAGTGGCAGGGCTGAACCTGGACAATCGGGGGCCCTACCCAGTGGGCCCTCCCTTTCCTTGTTCACTTTTTCCCTCCTCCCTTCCTCCTGTCCCTCTCCCCCATCTCCCCTGCTTCAACAAGGCAAGTTTAGATGCACAGAAAAGGTTTTAAGTTAGACCTTAAATGAAGATTTTGACATTTTAAGACTCATTTCCAAGGGCTGTTGTTGAATAATATGAATGATTTTTAAGGAAAAAACTTTTCTTTGGGTGTGATCTGAATGAATCCTGCTTATACACATGAGATGGTAGGATTGATTTTATTGATGATGTTTCTTCCAGTTTTTGGATTTTTATTACCTTGCATTTGTCATCACAATTAGCCAAGTATATTCACCCCTATCTTGAGTAAGAATTGGAAAACAAAAGCTTCCCTTTGAAACTGATCTGTTATTCCTAAGTGTGAAGTGAATATCAGACAGTCTCAGAATCTGTTTAAGTACGCTGATCTGATTTGATTCCCCCTGTTAGGGACGATTGGATGGAAAGTAAGGATGATGTTACATGGACAGCACAAGAGCTGTCTTCTGAACCTAGTTCATTCACTGTCCTGCAGTTGGATCATTTACCTTAAAAGCTGCCAAATGATGGAATACTTTTTTTCCATGATCTGTTTTAAAAGGAAATAGATGTACATGTGGCAAAACATGAAGCACTGTAACTGCTTTTTATGTTTGGTTACTAGGATTACTACTCTGTTTTTTACCTCTACCTCTATTACGCTTCCCTTTTGCAGTGGTATGCTCCTTCAGACATGGCTTTATCCTTTTCTACACCTCCTTCTCTTTCATTTTAAAAAAAACATGGGGTTACAGTTGGCCATCCTGTCCTAATAAATCAGGTCAATTGGTCAGTTTTGTTGGCAAGCTCACTGATGACACTGGACTAAATGCTTTGTTATGCTTTTCTAGGATTGCAGGGATGATGTTGGTGGGGCTCAGAATGTCGGCATGCTGGGCATCTTAGTCAAAACTGGTATGTATCTTCAGTATAATATTTTGTTTCTCTAAAACAGAATGGTAGAATACACAGCTGCTTAAAGAACAGTCTTTGAAGAAATGGCAAAAGCCCACTGGGCACTTTAATTCTCTTTCTGCCACAAAGCAAAAATAAAATGGGCTTAGGATTGCAGGGAAAAAAGACAATGTGAAAGGGCCCATGCCGTGCAAAGCTAGGAAGATCAGATCAGAGTTCAGAGGTATTTTAACAGTTACACAGAGGTAACCACACACAATTGACCATTAGCATTTGTATGATTTTCTGGATATACAAATCACCAAAGTTGACCAAAAGACCATTGATAGTGGGGCTCTGTAAAAATATGTTTTCTTTTTGCACCAGCTATAAGATGTTTATCTTTTTAGCGACTGGCTAGCTAAGTGATATGATACTTTGTGTTAATGTTTACATTTTTTTAAAAAACACACAAAAACCTTTTGTCTTTTCACTTACTGTTTTAGTAACAATTTCCTGTACCAAAATTAGGTAAACCGGGTGTGGTCCCTCGAATAAATTTAAGGAAAGGGAAAGAACCTAATGGGGGAGACTCAGCTAATACGGTATCATGGCAACAGTGGACCAGTTAGGTGTCCTGGGTCTTGGTCTCCGCTCTACACTGACTGTGAGACTCTGGGCAAGGCCCTTCACCTCTTTGGGCCATTCACGGATGATGGGGCTGGACTGGTCCCTTCTGGCTCTCACAGTATATGAGTATTACACTGTGCAGTTTTCCTGTGTGGAGTGTGATTAATGAAGTCCTTTCAGGGTAAGGAAAGAACAGCCCTGAGAGTTGTGTGGGCTTGTGTGCCGTCGCACTAGGAACTTGATGAGCCTTTTCAGATAAAATGAAGAGGTCTCCCCCGCACCTGCCCCCAGCTGGCACCTGCTGAGCTTAAAACTAATAGCACGTGTTTGAGGATGACAGCCAGGAGTCTGGTCCAAGAATTGTCATCGGGCTCTTATCAGTTAAATAGCAGATAGGTGGTTCCATAGATGGCTCTGTGAGTTCATATGCCTGGCTTCATACAGGCTGTTCAGAAAAGGGAAGATTTAAACACTAAGTCACAGACGAGCTGCCACTGGGAAATTTTTTAGATAGAGTATATTTACTCATGACTGTGATGTTCAAGAAAATGTGGTTGCATAAAAGCTATTTTGAATTTAAAAACAGAAACAAGAAAACATAGATGTTGCTACAATTGAATAAGAAGTATTTTCCAGGCCCTGTGTGAACAAAGAATGGGAACAGTCTTCTCATGCTGGGCGTCTGGAGCGAACCATTGGAGCCTTGCAGATACTAACTCCAGTCACTCTAGAATTAATAGTATTGTGTTTTCACGTTTCTAATTCAAGATGATCACCGTCTTCCCAGAAACATGCCCTTTGATGGAAGCAAAAAAGAGGATATATCAGGGAGTCAGGAAAAATAGCCACACTCCTCATCCTCCCCTGTATCTGAATTTTCAGACGCTTGGCATTGCTCATCACTTTATGATCTGGTCATTGAGGAAACCCTCAGCTAACTGTTTTCCTCTCGGGTATTGTTCCCATGAACATTTCCTTTCTTTAGGTCACATAACTAAGGATTTGCACCAAGGATGAAAACTGGTCCTATGCCAGGGTCTTGTAGGCCCAGCTTCCCTAGCTGGTCTCCATTGGCTCTGCCTTCTTTTCTGACTGGCAGTTGGTTGTGGTCAGCCTGTCACAGAGGCATCCAGTTAGTCTTAGAGAAGCCAGCAGCTCCACACCATCAAATCTGAAATGTCTAACTTAGAAACATAGCTAAGTCCAGCTCATGAAAACAGGCCCATTTGTACTGTTCATCTTTGGTCAGAAAAAAGTCCCAAGTAAGCCCACTGTTCTGAAAGCATACAGAGCAGCCGGCTCCTCATAAATTTGAACTCAGTGCAGTGAACAATTGCTGGGTTTCCCAGTGTTTGAAAATTACCAGAGAGATTTTAAATTATTCAGTGATAGTCTTGAGCAGTTTTGTTTCTCAATAACACATAATAGATGCTCAATATACATTTGCTCCACGATTTGTTAGTAAAGACTTTTTTTTTTTTTTTTTTTTGTT